TTTGACACCAGGGTTTTTTTCAAAGTCACTGAAATTATCTGAACGTTTTCTTTTACCTCCGTCCATTTGTTTGGTTTAGGTGACTTGTTCCAATTCCACACAACGCTCATGGATTAGTGTCCCATCCCTGGTTTCTCCCGAGTGGTGCAGTGGTCTAAGGAGCTGCATCGCAGTGCTAGCTGTGCCACTAGAGATCCTGGTTCGAATCCAGGCTCTGTCGTAGCCGGCCGCGACCGGGAGACCCATGGGGCGGCGCACAATTGGCCCAGCGTCGTCCAGGGTAGGGGAGGGAATGGCCGGCAGGAATGTAGCTCAGTTGGTAGAGCATGGCGTTTGCAACGCCAGGGTTGTGGGTTCGATTCCCACGGGGGGCCAGTATGAAAACATTTAAAAATAATAATGTATGCACTCACTAACTGTAAGTCGCTCTGGATAAGAGCGTCTGCTAAATAACTAAATGTAAATGTTTCTGAAGCATCCTCAGGTCAGCACCAAGTGCACACCGTTAATCTAATTAGGCTTCACAAAGATTAACTGGTTAGTCCTTACTTACCTTAGTCTGGGACTCCCTAGACTAGAGCTAATTAATCTGAAGTTAATCAATGTCTCAGAAAGCTTTTAAAAAAATCTGGATTAATTTAAGTAAAATTAGCCTAGTCCTGACTTAAATTAAAATCTGTCCGGGAAACCGCCCCTCAGTCTCTCATCTACTCTGAGCTCAGATGGGGAAACATAAGTTAGGAAAGCAAAGGCTAGCTTTTTCAAACAGAAATGTGCATCCTGTAGCACTAACTCCAAATAGTTTTGGGACACTGTAAAGTCCATGGAGAATAAGAGCACCTCCTCCCAGCTGCCCACTGCACTGAGGCTAGGAAACACTGTCACCACCGATAAATCTACGATAATCGAGAATTTCAATAAGCATTTTGCTACGGCTGGCCATGCTTTCCACCTGGCTATCCCTACCCCGGCCACCAGCCTTGAGGCCGATACGTAAAGCTTATTAAAGAGCAGTGATACTATCAAGAGCAGTGATACTATCAAGAGCAGTGATACTATCAAGAGCAGTGATACTATCTAGAGCAGTGATACTATCTAGAGCAGTGATACCATAGAGAGCAGTGATACTATCAAGAGCAGTGATACTATAGAGAGCAGTGATACTATAGAGAGCAGTGATACTATCAAGAGCAGTGATACTATAGAGAGCAGTGATACTATAGAGAGCAGTGATACCATAGAGAGCAGTGATACTATCAAGAGCAGTGATACTATAGAGAGCAGTGATACTATAGAGAGCAGTGATACTATAGAGAGCAGTGACACTATCAAGAGCAGTGATACTATCTAGAGCAGTGATACTATCTAGAGCAGTGATACTATCAACAGCAGTGATACTATAGAGAGCAGTGATACTATCAAGAGCAGTGATACTATAGAGAGCAGTGATACTATCAAGAGCAGTGATACTATAGAGAGCAGTGATACTATAGAGAGCAGTGATACCATAGAGAGCAGTGATACTATCAAGAGCAGTGATACTATAGAGAGCAGTGATACTATAGAGAGCAGTGATACTATAGAGAGCAGTGACACTATCAAGAGCAGTGATACTATCTAGAGCAGTGATACTATCTAGAGCAGTGATACTATCAACAGCAGTGATAATATCTAGAGCAGTGATACTATCTAGAGCAGTGATACTATAGAGAGCAGTGATACTATCTAGAGCAGTGATACTATCAAGAGCAGTGATACTATAGAGAGCAGTGATACTATAGAGAGCAGTGATACTATCAAGAGCAGTGATACTATCTAGAGCAGTGATACTATCTAGAGCAGTGATACTATCAAGAGCAGTGATACTATCTAGAGCAGTGATACTATCTAGAGCAGTGATACTATAGAGAGCAGTGATACTATCAAGAGCAGTGATACTATCTAGAGCAGTGATACTATAGAGAGCAGTGATACTATCAACAGCAGTGATACTATAGAGAGCAGTGATACTATCAAGAGCAGTGATACTATCAAGAGCAGTGATACTACCAAGAGCAGTGATACTATCAAGAGCAGTGATACTATCTAGAGCAGTGATACTATAGAGAGCAGTGATACTACCAAGAGCAGTGATACTATCTAGAGCAGTGATACTATCTAGAGCAGTGATACTATCAAGAGCAGTGATACTATCAAGAGCAGTGATACTATCTAGAGCAGTGATACTATAGAGAGCAGTGATACTATAGAGAGCAGTGATACTATAGAGAGCAGTGATACTATCAAGAGCAGTGATACTATAGAGAGCAGTGATACTATCAAGAGCAGTGATACTATCTAGAGCAGTGATACTATAGAGAGCAGTGATACTATAGAGAGCAGTGATACTATAGAGAGCAGTGATACTATAGAGAGCAGTGATACTATCAAGAGCAGTGATACTGTTATGAACCCCGTGGCTTTAAACGTCTAGGGTGGATGGAGAAGAGACCCGTAACATAAATCATGCAAATTAGAATTGTGACATGGAACAGGGAGAACAAAAACTACACGACAACCATAAACTACCGTCAAACATAAAATGTTTATTTGTGAACACACGGTAAAGGTTTGGGAAAAAGGGCTGAGCAGGACCCAAGAAATGAAACAATAGTGTAAAACACCCCTAAACTGATCTTGCCTGCCTCAAGAACCGCTAAGCTACTGCTAATCATACGAAAATACAGTGGGTGGTCCGCTCAGGTCTAACTAGTGTTTATAGACAGTTTTCTTTCTACGGGTAATGTATGCCCAAGGGCAGCTTGCTTAACTTCCCCTTTTCCCAGAAACACACAAAGTTACCAAACAGAGTAACCAGCAAATTAGTGAGTACACAAAACACAGGACACCACAGTATCCATACTCATATACAGAAATAGTCTCACAAAGTTACCAAACAGAGTAACCAGCAAATGAGTGAGTACACAGGACACCACAGTATCCATACTCACATACGGAAAATAGTCTTCTAACAACAAACACAACTGACCGGCTTTTAAACAATGGGATGTGTGATTGAAAAACCAGAAACAGGTGGTGCAATGCAGAGGAATGTCCACTGATTGGTCCACCTCAGCAATCAGCAGACACCCCAACGACCACCAATCAGGAACATACAGGACACCTGTGATTAGGGCAGAAGGAGAGGAAAAACACAAAAAGACACAGGATACCTGTATCCGTAACAGATACTATCAACAGCAGTGATACTATCAAGAGCAGTGATACTATAGAGAGCAGTGATACTATCTAGAGCAGTGATACTACCAAGAGCAGTGATACTATCGAGAGCAGTGATACTATCTAGAGCAGTGATACTATAGAGAGCAGTGATACTATCAAGAGCAGTGATACTATCTAGAGCAGTGATACTATCTAGAGCAGTGATACTATCAAGAGCAGTGATACTATCAAGAGCAGTGATACTATCAACAGCAGTGATACTATCAAGAGCAGTGACACTATAGAGAGCAGTGATACTATAGAGAGCAGTGATACTATCTAGAGCAGTGATACTATCAAGAGCAGTGATACTATCAACAGCAAAAAAAGATAGCTCAGATGTGCGAGTGCCTTTTGAAGTTTAAACTGGACTAACTGAAATGGCATTACTCAGACATGGCTAAAAATTGTCCAGAAGGACGATTAAAGTTAATCTAGATCTAGGTGAAGGTTTAAATTAAACCGGGTCAGAGGTAGGTATAACTTCAGATTAATGGATGTTGGCTCCCAGGTTGACCTTGGCAATGGAGGGAAATGGATTAGCTGGACTATATCAATGATGATCAAAGAGCATCACCAAGACCTGACAGAAAGGCAGTTATAGACAGGAGCATCCATAGAATGATTTGGATTAAATCAATTTCTGTGACCGTTTCCGTATTTACGAAGAAAATGCTGCTGACATAATTTGTTTGCTTGAGCCAAGCATCCCTCCTTCCCTACAAGTACTGATCACCATGAAGTTATTGGCATCTGGAACCTTCCATCGTGAAACAGGAGATATGAGTGTTGTAAATGAACCGACTGTATGCAGAATAGTCCACAAAGTCTGCAATGCTATATGTGAACTGAAAGACAATTCCATAAAGTTCCCTGATGCTGTTCTATGAATATGGGATCTTCCCTGGAGTCATTGACAATATAGATGGATGTCATATTCCCATCAAGTGTCCCTCTACAGCAGAGTACAGGAATCGTAAAAACTGGTTCTCAATAAATGCTCAAAGTGTGTGTACACCCAATGTGCTGTTCTCCAACATTGTTGCATTTTGAAAAGGTGCAACTCATGACTCAAGGATTATCCCACATTCTTCTTTGTCTACTCAGCTTGAAGGAGGACAACATAGTGGAATCATACTTGGTGACAGTGGGTATGTACAGACTAACTTCTTGTTCACTCCCTATCTTCATGCAATAGGATCTGAGCAATAACGGTACAACCAAGTTCATATCCACACCAAATGTTTGGTGTATGGAAGAGTCGTTTCCAGTGTCTCAGAAACACATTGCACTTTCAACCAAAAAGATGCTGCATTGTCATAATTGCAACAGTAGTGCTTCACAATGACCTCAAACAGCATGACTGCCCAGATCAATGACCTCAAACAGCATGACTGCCCAGATCATTGACCTCGAACAGCATGACTGCCCAGATCCTCACATTAAAGATGAGGATGACCCCCATGTTCCCCGGGTTGAGGCAGACAATGACAGAAAGGGACTAGCCTGCAGAGATGCGTGTGGTATGCAACACTTCTCACAGCAAAGATATCTTAAATGATTGAAGCAAACAATAGCCATGGATTGGTAACAAAACACTTTTTATTTCACAAATATTGGGACCCTGAACTGATGCTGGTTTGAGAAGAACATTGTTAGTGCTGCTGCTTCATGTTCCTCTCCTCCTCCTCCTTCATAGCCAACTCAACATGAAGGATTCACATCTTCATATCATGCTCTTATTTGAAATACATTAGTTTGCGCTCATGAAATTCCATGGCCAGTTTCTCCTGCATGCTCAGCCTCTTAGTCTTTGTCCTCCGGCCTGGGTTAGTGACACAATCCTCCCTCCTGGCTGCTGTAGGTGTATCGGGCTGTCCTCCAAGCTATGGTGATCATCTGCCTCTAGAAAAGGATTACATTTGCTGCATTAGAGAACATTAACTCGTCCTGTTGAGTTCATTACATCATTTTATTATGGGAGTGCAAGAGATGACTTACAACATTATATATTCCCTGCAGTCCGGGGATGGCACATGTTGAATGAATGTGTCCTACCAAATGAGGATTGGAACGGTCCCCCCATCTGAACTGTCCAAATGGTCATCATCGGGGATACTTTCCAGGGGTAGCTGGCTGTCAATGATCAACGGTCAACAAGTCCCCCAGCTCATATGGTCTAATTGGGGATCCTCCACCAGTCCCCCAGCCCATCTGTCTCTGGTCTAACTGGGGGTCCTCCACCAGTCTTAAAAAGCTCCCTACGAGCAACAGCATTTGTCTTCTTTAAATAGATTTGTATGTTTTTCCGCAGGACCTTTCAAAGACAAGACAAAACAGAAATGATGGATTATATTGTTACATTTCTGTCCCCGACTGTGTGGTGTTACACAAGAAAAACTGACATTTCGAAGTGACTCTGACTTGTAAAAGTGGTTCATCAATAAATACAGTATCTCACCTGAAGTTGTTGTAAAGTCCTTTTATTTACTTTTTCATTTGAGTTGAATTCGTTTCAAATGGTAGTTCAGGCGTTCTTCTTTTAGTTTTCTGTTGTTGAATCATGCTGTTTGTTCCAGAATTGGGTGGTTTGACACCAGGGTTTTTTCAAAGTCACTGAAATTATCTGAACGTTTTCTTTTACCTCCGTCCATTTGTTTGGTTTAGGTGACTTGTTCCAATCCCACACAACGCTCATGGATTAGTGTCCCATCCCTGGTTTCTCCCGAGTGGTGCAGTGGTCTAAGGAGCTGCATCGCAGTGCTAGCTGTGCCACTAGAGATCCTGGTTCGAATCCAGGCTCTGTCGTAGCCGGCCGCGACCGGGAGACCCATGGGGCGGCGCACAATTGGCCCAGCGTCGTCCAGGGTAGGGGAGGGAATGGCCGGCAGGAATGTAGCTCAGTTGGTAGAGCATGGCGTTTGCAACGCCAGGGTTGTGGGTTCGATTCCCACGGGGGGCCAGTATGAAAACATTTAAAAATAATAATGTATGCACTCACTAACTGTAAGTCGCTCTGGATAAGAGCGTCTGCTAAATAACTAAATGTAAATGTTTCTGAAGCATCCTCAGGTCAGCACCAAGTGCACACCGTTAATCTAATTAGGCTTCACAAAGATTAACTGGTTAGTCCTTACTTACCTTAGTCTGGGACTCCCTAGACTAGAGCTAATTAATCTGAAGTTAATCAATGTCTCAGAAAGCTTTTTAAAAAATCTGGATTAATTTAAGTAAAATTAGCCTAGTCCTGACTTAAATTAAAATCTGTCCGGGAAACCGCCCCTCAGTCTCTCATCTACTCTGAGCTCAGATGGGGAAACATAAGTTAGGAAAGCAAAGGCTAGCTTTTTCAAACAGAAATGTGCATCCTGTAGCACTAACTCCAAATAGTTTTGGGACACTGTAAAGTCCATGGAGAATAAGAGCACCTCCTCCCAGCTGCCCACTGCACTGAGGCTAGGAAACACTGTCACCACCGATAAATCTACGATAATCGAGAATTTCAATAAGCATTTTGCTACGGCTGGCCATGCTTTCCACCTGGCTATCCCTACCCCGGCCACCAGCCTTGAGGCCGATACGTAAAGCTTATTAAAGAGCAGTGATACTATCAAGAGCAGTGATACTATCAAGAGCAGTGATACTATCAAGAGCAGTGATACTATCTAGAGCAGTGATACTATCTAGAGCAGTGATACCATAGAGAGCAGTGATACTATCAAGAGCAGTGATACTATAGAGAGCAGTGATACTATAGAGAGCAGTGATACTATCAAGAGCAGTGATACTATAGAGAGCAGTGATACTATAGAGAGCAGTGATACCATAGAGAGCAGTGATACTATCAAGAGCAGTGATACTATAGAGAGCAGTGATACTATAGAGAGCAGTGATACTATAGAGAGCAGTGACACTATCAAGAGCAGTGATACTATCTAGAGCAGTTATACTATCTAGAGCAGTGATACTATCAACAGCAGTGATACTATAGAGAGCAGTGATACTATAGAGAGCAGTGATACTATCAAGAGCAGTGATACTATAGAGAGCAGTGATACTATAGAGAGCAGTGATACCATAGAGAGCAGTGATACTATCAAGAGCAGTGATACTATAGAGAGCAGTGATACTATAGAGAGCAGTGATACTATAGAGAGCAGTGACACTATCAAGAGCAGTGATACTATCAAGAGCAGTGATACTATCTAGAGCAGTGATACTATCAACAGCAGTGATAATATCTAGAGCAGTGATACTATCTAGAGCAGTGATACTATAGAGAGCAGTGATACTATCTAGAGCAGTGATACTATCAAGAGCAGTGATACTATAGAGAGCAGTGATACTATAGAGAGCAGTGATACTATCAAGAGCAGTGATACTATAGAGAGCAGTGATACTATCAAGAGCAGTGATACTATAGAGAGCAGTGATACTATAGAGAGCAGTGACACTATCGAGAGCAGTGATACTATCTAGAGCAGTGATACTATCTAGAGCAGTGATACTATCAAGAGCAGTGATACTATAGAGAGCAGTGATACTATCTAGAGCAGTGATACTATCTAGAGCAGTGATACTATCAAGAGCAGTGATACTATCTAGAGCAGTGACACTATCTAGAGCAGTGATACTATAGAGAGCAGTGATACTATCAACAGCAGTGATACTATAGAGAGCAGTGATACTATCAAGAGCAGTGATACTATCAAGAGCAGTGATACTACCAAGAGCAGTGATACTATCAAGAGCAGTGATACTATCTAGAGCAGTGATACTATAGAGAGCAGTGATACTACCAAGAGCAGTGATACTATCTAGAGCAGTGATACTATCTAGAGCAGTGATACTATAGAGAGCAGTGATACTATAGAGAGCAGTGATACTACCAAGAGCAGTGATACTATCTAGAGCAGTGATACTATCAAGAGCAGTGATACTATAGAGAGCAGTGATACTATCTAGAGCAGTGATACTATAGAGAGCAGTGATACTATCAAGAGCAGTGATACTATCTAGAGCAGTGATACTATAGAGAGCAGTGATACTATAGAGAGCAGTGAAACTATAGAGAGCAGTGATACTATAGAGAGCAGTGATACTATAGAGAGCAGTGATACTATCAAGAGCAGTGATACTATAGAGAGCAGTGATACTATCAAGAGCAGTGATACTATCTAGAGCAGTGATACTATAGAGAGCAGTGATACTACCAAGAGCAGTGATACTATCTAGAGCAGTGATACTATCTAGAGCAGTGATACCATCAAGAGCAGTGATACTATCAAGAGCAGTGATACTATCTAGAGCAGTGATACTATAGAGAGCAGTGATACTATAGAGAGCAGTGATACTATAGAGAGCAGTGATACTATCAAGAGCAGTGATACTATAGAGAGCAGTGATACTATCAAGAGCAGTGATACTATCTAGAGCAGTGATACTATAGAGAGCAGTGATACTATAGAGAGCAGTGATACTATAGAGAGCAGTGATACTATAGAGAGCAGTGATACTATCAAGAGCAGTGATACTATAGAGAGCAGTGATACTATCAAGAGCAGTGATACTGTTACGAACCCCGTGGCTTTAAACGTCTAGGGTGGATGGAGAAGAGACCCGTAACATAAATCATGCAAATTAGAATTGTGACATGGAACAGGGAGAACAAAAACTACACGACAACCATAAACTACCGTCAAACATAAAATGTTTATTTGTGAACACACGGTAAAGGTTTGGGAAAAAGGGCTGAGCAGGACCCAAGAAATGAAACAATAGTGTAAAACACCCCTAAACTGATCTTGCCTGCCTCAAGAACCGCTAAGCTACTGCTAATCATACGAAAATACAGTGGGTGGTCCGCTCAGGTCTAACTAGTGTTTATAGACAGTTTTCTTTCTACGGGTAATGTATGCCCAAGGGCAGCTTGCTTAACTTCCCCTTTTCCCAGAAACACACAAAGTTACCAAACAGAGTAACCAGCAAATTAGTGAGTACACAAAACACAGGACACCACAGTATCCATACTCATATACAGAAATAGTCTCACAAAGTTACCAAACAGAGTAACCAGCAAATGAGTGAGTACACAGGACACCACAGTATCCATACTCACATACGGAAAATAGTCTTCTAACAACAAACACAACTGACCGGCTTTTAAACAATGGGATGTGTGATTGAAAAACCAGAAACAGGTGGTGCAATGCAGAGGAATGTCCACTGATTGGTCCACCTCAGCAATCAGCAGACACCCCAACGACCACCAATCAGGAACATACAGGACACCTGTGATTAGGGCAGAAGGAGAGGAAAAACACAAAAAGACACAGGATACCTGTATCCGTAACAGATACTATCAACAGCAGTGATACTATCAAGAGCAGTGATACTATAGAGAGCAGTGATACTATAGAGAGCAGTGATACTATAGAGAGCAGTGATACTATCTAGAGCAGTGATACTACCAAGAGCAGTGATACTATCGAGAGCAGTGATACTATCAAGAGCAGTGATACTATCTAGAGCAGTGATACTATAGAGAGCAGTGATACTATCAAGAGCAGTGATACTATCTAGAGCAGTGATACTATCTAGAGCAGTGATACTATCAAGAGCAGTGATACTATCAAGAGCAGTGATACTATCAACAGCAGTGATACTATCAAGAGCAGTGACACTATAGAGAGCAGTGATACTATAGAGAGCAGTGATACTATCTAGAGCAGTGATACTATCAAGAGCAGTGATACTATCAACAGCAAAAAAAGATAGCTCAGATGTGCGAGTGCCTTTTGAAGTTTAAACTGGACTAACTGAAATGGCATTACTCAGACATGGCTAAAAATTGTCCAGAAGGACGATTAAAGTTAATCTAGATCTAGGTGAAGGTTTAAATTAAACCGGGTCAGAGGTAGGTATAACTTCAGATTAATGGATGTTGGCTCCCAGGTTGACCTTGGCAATGGAGGGAAATGGATTAGCTGGACTATATCAATGATGATCAAAGAGCATCACCAAGATCTGACAGAAAGGCAGTTATAGACAGGAGCATCCATAGAATGATTTGGATTAAATCAATTTCTGTGACCGTTTCCGTATTTACGA